TATATTTAACACTCTTATACATACATATAGGGGTGCAGTGTGACACTCGCTTCGTGTTTTCTGAGACTCTTCCATTACGGTGAAGCCCCTGGTTCTAAAGCGGCAACAGCTCTACCACCGCACATTAACCTACGGTAATGCATGCGCATTCGGGATTATTAATTACATTTTCTGAGAAAAACGTTTGTCTTACCTGGGATGCGCCGAGGAGTGCGGGGGGGGGGGGGTTATTTCTTATGGAGCATTTTGCTTAGCTCACCGCGACCTTAATACCCGGGGAAAAGTGATGTGCCTTAAGCCGATTATCAAGCTGGTTGTGAAAAAAATTTAGCACTTAAAATTTGGACGAATTACATGTAAAAAAGTAAATCGATTAACTGTTATATTAATTACTGAACTTAAGAGTATCAAGATGTGGAACGGTTTATTTTATATCCATAAATACATTAAGTGATTAGGTATAATAATGTCTCTTATAAAACTGAGATATAAATTTTGATATAACATTATATATATATTTTTTTTATACATGGAAAAAATTATTATTAAATACATAAATATTAATTACAGTAATTTTTAAACATCTTGATTTTTCATTACTTAAAAATAGGGGCAAAAAAATTGTATAACTTGTCTCTATTTTTTTAAACATGCACAATAATATTTGATACATTGAGCAAAAACTTTTGAATATAATGAATTATATAGACATTCTTGTAGCGTCTTTTATGAAACTTTGCGTCGTAAAAGTGCGACAATTCCTCAAGACAAATTATGTATTTGAATAAAAAATATATTAATGGAGATGCAAGTCACGAAGGCTTCTGTATCTTTACAGAATGTAAAAAAATAGAAAGTTGCACTCTTTATCGATCGGCATAACTGATGCAAAAAAGCAAGACATAATTTACTTGAAAACTTGACAGAGAGGAGAGATCTAGGAGAAACCTTTATTAGAGCGTGAGCATCCAAGCCCCGCAAGATTTTCTTTAAAAGTTCCGAAGTTTTCTTTCTCATTGCCGCTTTTCTCGCAACGCGTAGAGCGAACTAAAGGAAATCTTCCTTCGCAATACGCATAAAAAGGTTACGTTCTACGAAACTCATCAGAGTAACCTGAAAAGGTTTAATAAGGTCAAATCGACGGAATTTCCGTGTCTTTTGTTCTTTTTCACCATTTTCTCACGCACGTCCCTCGATTATGTAATGTCTTTTTTTCATCAACTTGCATTGCCGAATGTTTTGTACTGACGGGTGTTTTGTATGAAAAGTAGACATGCACAGCATCACATGAACGAGCTTTAAAATCTTACTGATATATCTTATGTGGATGCAGACGCTTTTACGATTGTACAGAAGTATAGAAAGTATAGAAAGTATAGAAAGTATATTACGATTGTATAGAAAAGTTTACTCGAGTTCTTTCGTACCAATCATATTATTTTTATGATACATGTCATTATTTCATTAATTTTTGATGAGACATTATATTTAAGATGAGATAGAATCTTTACATCTTTTTCTCTTTTTTGCTCTCCTCCTCTCTTCCTTCTATTAATTTTGTATTGTATTTTCGCATAAAAACTCGGAAACTGCATTTTTTACTAAAATTGTCAACAACTTTGGCGAACAAACAAGAATTTTGGAGAATAATAAAGATGCGAATATCGAGAAGCTTGATTATATAAAATGCTGTAGCTAAACTGAATATATTACAGAATATCTTTTTTTTACGCGAGCGCTTTTATAATACCATACATGTGGAACGCAATTTTCGAATGAAACAACTCCAGTCGTGTATTTTCTTCGTTAGCCGAGCCTTGGACGATAAATAATTCAGGTTATATATTTATATGTATAAATATAAATATAAGATACTATAAATCATAAATATATAAATTTCTTAAATGTATAAGTAAAAAGCTATGACGGTGCAATAGCAGCTGCTTTGATCCTGCAATTTGTCGTCTTCCTGCTCATCCAAGATTCAATGTCCCTAGACGAAGCGCCTTTCCGGGAATCGTCCTTTCCTCTTCAGGACGTCATCTTATTTGTTCCTTCTACGTCGTGTCGAGAATCGTCCTTTTCGTCCGCTTGCGACGACATGCACAGCGGAAACCGGTAGTACGTTGGCTCGACCCGAGAGCTTGCGCTCTCGAAGTCTCGTATCATTTCTAATTCACGTGGCCCTTTCTCCCGTTTAAAAAATGGAATAAAATGAAAGTAGCAATGATCAAGTCAAGCAGACAACGTCAAAGCAACATAAATTCACGTTCCGAGACGCATATATCAAGCGCTATTGTCCGCTGTGCAGCTTTATATCATTTCGATGCAATCTATATTCATCGATAGAAAAGATGGAAAAATACTCGTAAATTCTTAAATATTATTTCAAAATGATCACATTGATACGACAGTACCAATATTGTTATATTTTTCCGTGCAATTTGTGCACAACTTCCTTATTATTAATACTAATTGATGTGACAGTTTATTTTAACAATGCGATTAAACGCTTTTTGGTTCATTTTAATTAAAAAGTACACGTGTATATATATAAAGTGCTCTTTTCCTAACAAAGTTTTTCCGAAGTATTAGTTGCATTGTTATGATTCTATAACGGTTGTGTCGCTTCAAGAATCTGCATTTTTCGCCGTGTCACAGGCGAAACAGGAGGAATGAAAGAGATCAACTGTGTAACAATCGCAAGTGAATGCAGCGAAGCTGCGGTATGGCTTATCCGCGCGGCGTAGCACCTCCGTGAAACGCATTGGCAGCGGCGGGTTGGCCGGGTATGATGTTTGAGCGCATTTGAATATCAGGAAATGAAGCCTCTTGTCCCAGGAGCCCCTCGCCGCGGACTACATCACATGGATGAGAGACACAGAAATAACGGAGCGGGAGGAAGAGAGAGAAAGAGAAAGTGTAGTAAGGGTGGATAGAGACACTCTGAACAAACGAACGAACGAACGAACGAACGAACGAACGGTGGCAGTGCCGTTTGAATAATACTTTGCATTCAAATGCCAGACTCGATAAAAGAAAGCGCCTCGCCACTTGAAATATCCCATTACGCGCTATTATCCCTTCACCACCGGTCGAGACATCTTCGTCGGTCAATTTGACGTTCCGTTCGACGCGTTTCATGATTCGTACGATATCCATCCATACGCTTCGCAATATTTTTTCATTTATTTCACTATT